TGGCAGTCTGCAATAGGATTAAGCAGTTCTTTTCGAGACATAAACAACGCAGTCTTAGGAATATTTTGCCTTACGGTAACATGTCCAGTGTTTTCTAAGTATGTAAAACTGTATGTGCATGTGTGTCCATTAATACAAATTAACATATTTAAAATTAACCAATCAGATTTAGTACGGTTAGTTAAAACTAAAAATAAATATTCTAAATAAAGTTGTATAGATGTTTAAATACCTACTGTGTGTAAGTGTGAAATACAAATCAGTTCGGACATCAACAAATTTTAACCACGAACCTGCTAGATGGATGCTATGTCAGGCGGCAAGGGAATTGCGGTGATTAGTTACATTATCCTTCTCTTTAAGAGCAAAGGCGCAAATCCAACTTATGGTTTCACTGAAACAACATTTTAGATTTTACGTTAGTATCTTTTATTTCCTATGCAAACTTAATGTACGTTTTCCTCAGAATTACTAGTTGACAATACCATTCGTTAGACGAAAATGACATAAATCTCTGTCCTTGGAGATTACATATCAGTTTCCTAATTTACATTCACAGTGCTGAGATTCAAATTTCATTCTCCTAATTTTGCACAATAGTGAGTAAAGTGTAAATTCAGGTAGTATAATATTTAGAATTATAGTTGGTGAATCTGACTGAGATGTGACATATCCTTTCGTCAGTAAGAAATTAATACTATAATGTAAGTTGAAAACAATACACACGCATACACACAAAAAAAAAAGGCTTGGGCTGATGACATATGCAAATCAGTTGAACAATACTCAAAATATGACGTAAGAGATATCTCAGAAAGAGAATTGTATCCCCTTGACACTTAAACATCTATCACAGTGAGTTCTCATACTACTACGAAGATACTTAAAACCTGTTCCTAGTAAGTAATCCCACTTTCCCAAAGCAGCGGGTTTTACTACATTGAGGATCTTGACAGGGACTTGTCATAAAACAAGTTTAAAACCTCCTTTGTTTATTAGGGATAATTATTACGGTGAACGTCTTTAATCATTTCGTTATTTAAGTGCACGAAATTATTTTCTTCGTTTACCAACATAAATGTTTGTGAAGGTAATTTTAAATTTTATTATCTCTCTCATATATGCAAATTGAAAATAAATTTGTAAACTCCAATACCATTAAGTATTCTCCCAATTTTTTCTATTGGTGAAGTAAAGAAAACTCAATTCTTAAAAGTCCTTTAAATTTAGATTAGTCGATTTTAATTTTCTATGCCATAAAAACGCCATAACACACAATTCTTGATGTTAATAGCTGCTCCACAACAGTACAACCATCAGAAATAATACTGAAATCTTTCACTTGACTAATACGATTACACACCATCCTACATCTAGCATCTAATGAAAGGGCCCACTACACCTTTCTGCGACATATGTCACGGACAGATAATGTCCTCCACCCACGCACTACAGCACTTCTATTCTTCCTTAAAATTAAATTCACCATGTCTCGCCATCGAATTTCATTCTTCGAATAAAAGAAGATCCATTAAAATACACGAAAATGAATCATCTATTTTTAGTAAAAAAATTATTAAAATAACGATTCGTACTATATAGGTGGAATTAAAGTTTCTAATTTCTAATAAATCTAATATTCGACCGTAGAAGCTGAAATGAATGAGTACCCTTGCTAAAAATACTTATTGTGGATTTTTTTCGTAAACGGAAAGATAATATTATTTGATATTGATCATATTTTAATGGGAGAAATTATCTAAAACTTTTAAGAAACGAAATTTTAAAGAGTTTGAATTTAAAAGATTATTATGTTTGGATGGTTAAGATAAATGTCATCTTATTCTTTCCATGCTTTTATTTTGAAGCCAATCATATTCTTTTACAGTTTTAAGGAATTAAAGGCATGCTTGCTGTACTTTTACGTGGTGTAGTTCCCAGCACAAGCAGCTAAAGAGATCTCGGGTTCGATTCCTGATGAGGATGTGGTTAATTTTTCCGAATTTCTCCTCATAGACTCTTAAAGATTCAAGAAGATTAACCCTTGCTGTATTACACAGTAGATTTATAAAAATTTCCGTATATATTTGCAGTTTTTATGTATGTGCACACTCAGAGTAGAGTCAGAAAGAAACTGAATACGGTACTAAAATCATTTTAAAGTGTCCGGGAAAAAGTTATGAAATTTATTTCCTCAAATATCAAACTTAGAAACAGATTATAGGCCTTTAAACAGGTGACATTCAGCCTCACTTTTAAGTTAGTTTTATACAATCGCTATCCATATTTCTAGGGAGACTAGTCACGAGTTTTCTGTTGATCAGTATAACACACTGAGTAGTTTATATCCAATGCTATATTTTCTTTATAGCTTTAACTTTCATTTTTAATAATATATATTAAATAGCATTTTGATTTTGAAAATGGCATGCTCCCCTTCGTTGACATAAGTAATATTATATGTGTTCCTACTAAAATTTTTAAAAAAGGGGAGGGACAAAGAAAAAGATATTTTTAATAATATAAGTTTTTACTTAAAATAATCAATGAACTAAAAGCAGGAAGTTACAGGCGCCGGTAAAAGTTAAATAATTAGATATTAAATAAAGGATCTTTTTGGCTTCGGTTTCTCTTTCAAAGAGAAAAAATACCTTCTGTTGCCTTAATGAGCAAAACGACTTGCATGATGGTTACTTGAAGAAGTATATTGCTTTAAAAGAAAAGGTTTCTTTGCGCGTGATTGTCAAAATACCCAGAGGAACTAAAAGTTAAGGAAAGTAGGAAATATAGCAAACGAATTCATTGTAGGAGGACAGAGACAGCGATAGCTTTGAAAAACATAATAGCGAGACTTGGAGCATGGCGCTATTTTATTATTTAAACGGCCTGTAAGGAAATTAAAGGGAGAGAGACTGTCTACTAATTATTTTCTACAGAGACATTTTGTCAGGCCATGAGGATGTGTTGGGGGCTTCCCACACATACGTATATGACGAGCAAAATACGCTAGTTGCCTTTTCTTAGGGCCAAGTAGAAAAAAAATGTGCGATGCCATGCATTTAGGTCTGCATGGCTATAACTGTTTTAAAAAACGTTGTGGGATGACTGAAATTGACCGATTAAGTGAGGCGTGGCTGCACCAGGTGGCTTTTCATTGATAATTGTCAAGCGTGATTTTAGTAAAGATATTGTTGAAAACGAGGCCTTTTGCTTTTTTGTTCAGATGAGGAGAGGGAACGATTGTAAAGAGTGATGAAAAGAGAGAGAGAACAAGGGAAGAAAATTTCTAATAGATATTCTTGTCATAATTCAACAATATGAAAAGAAAAAGGAAAGAAAGAATTTCGAATGATAACTGATAGAAACGTGTGTTGAATAGTGCTGTGAAGAATAGTGCTGTGACCAAAATAGTGCTGTGAAGGTTCTGAAATATGTGTGAGGTAAAACAAAATACGGAAGACTTCTCGACCTCCTAGAAGATGATTAGCTGAATTCAATGATTTAGAGCAGAGGTCTCCAACCTTTTTGTCCCTAAGACCACATTTTAGATTATCTGTTGGACGGCGGCACCGATAAAGTTAATAATACGTGTACATTAAAAAAAAAAAAAAAAAAAAAAAAAAAAAAAAAGATTGGTCGCATTTCGCTTTGTGTTGGTATATGTGTTGGACGCAGTTTTTATTTCATTAAAAATGAGAAAACTTTCACATAAAATTTTATTGAAAACTAAAACATTTTATTGTTATTCCACAGCGGCGGGCATACGTTAAACGATCGGCGGGTTCCATGGTGCCCGCGGGCATAGGGTTGGAAACCCCTGATTTAGAGTAAGATAAAAGGGAAGGACGGGTAACTTATAAACACCCCTGTGACAAAAATTGAATGATCTATGTAATGTTCTTGTTATAATGTGTATAACGCGAAGGGAATACCTAAAAATGGTTGATCCGTAGAACCATGTTAATGAGTGAAGGAAGAAAAAATGCTCATGAGCATTCAAATTCCAGACTTAGCGACTTAGAATATCGGCTTCTGACTGTATCAAGTGCGATGTTCAGCACGTTGTGTTCCTCTTTAATGCAGTATTGTAAAGAGACCGTTCCGGAATGATATTAGTTCACAGCTTAGAATATCGGCTTCCTACTGTAACGACGAATAATGATCCGAGCAAGTGTTTCTGTCTATGAAGGGTTTTAGACTTTTCCGAACAGATATTTAGTGTGATGGAGAGAACAGGACCTGTAAGGGCTGTACGAGACAGTGTTAAGAACAGGTAACATAAAGTCATTTTCAATATGACTTTAGCATCGTGTAATTTGTTTTTTAGGAACCACGAAATCTGCTCATGTAAATACTCTTCACCAGCCACTTGCATGCAGCGATGATTACGTATAAGTAGTAATACGTAAATATTTATGAAGAAATTTAGTTCCAAAGTTAAAATAATATCATTATTTGTATATTGTGTATTTTGTATATTCATTCTTAAATTAAGTACTTATAAAAATGAATATATAGCTAGATATGATTATTTGTTTCTCTACCTACGACAGTACAATAAAAAAATTTTAATTGTTTTATCAAATCTAACTTGGGTTTAAGAGTTTGCGGCTGTACTTGATTGTCAAACTGTTTATTCCCAAGTGATATTAAAAAAATAATTCTTATCAGTTTTGCACATGATTAATTAGCACTCATATTTTACGGTACAACATAATAACATAAAAAATGAATTCTCGTAGGAAATGAAGTGAAAAGAATTTTCACAGAAAATACGACAGTTGTGAAATCAGTTTTGGAAGAATCGAAGCATTGTTTCCTCAAGTAAACTCATTTTTCACAGAAAATAACACAACCATGTATTTTTTTCTCTCTTACAGACAGCAATTTTGTGCTCGGCAATGCCCAAGTGCCCAACTTGTATCCCATCGTCTATTGCTCTGATGGATTCTGCGATCTGACTGGCTTTCCCCGGGCGCAGATTATGCAAAAGGGCTGCGCCTGCACTTTTCTGTACGGACCCGAGACCAAAGAAGAACACAAGCAGGAAATAGAGGCGGCCCTTGAGAACAAGATGGAGCTCAAACTTGAAGTTCTATTCTATAAGAAAAATGGTGAGTTTCTTATGATATTTCATCATTTTGTTGTATTCAGTGCCCCTTAAGATTTGAAATCAAGCATAGAAATTACATTTTTCCCGAAATAATTTGTTTTTATGAAAATAATGTCTTTAAATATCACATAGTACACTTTTCATATTGGTGCGAAAACATTGTATATCCCCTTTCATACATAAAACTACGCACACTTCACAGCTGTAACTTTCTTCTTAGGATGTAAACTGATTATTCCACAGATGCACACATATCCAACCAGATAAAAATTTATTAAAAATGGTTAATCAGATTTCAAAACATTTTGTTTTCAAACGTATTATTTATACAAAAGATGACACGAGAAAAGAACCCAACCTTCACTAATTTCTTTACGAAATTCAAATGTCGTATGTCTGCTCCGTTGGTCATAACGAAACATGTCCAAGCATTAATTCAGTCCGTACTTTCAGTAGCATACCCTACCGAGGTCTTCTATTCTAACATACAGTGACTTTGAATCCTTTGAAAGTGCATTAAGGACTGAAATTTCATACACACACCTACTGCCAGTTAACACTTGTTATCATCAGTTCTGCTATGGTAATCACTGTGTCAGCGGAAATGTTAGAATACATCTCAATTAAACTAGGCTATTGTTTGGTTATAGGATTCATGGAGCATACATAGGATATTTGCAGTATCAAAACAAACCCTGACGTGTTATAGGCTCCTTTCATGTATCAGTTATTGTTGTACATTCAATACTTTTAAAGCCGAAAAACATGAAAATTCAATATTTAACTTCTCCAGGATTCGAACTCTAGGCCTTCTTGTGCTAGCCAGAAGTGCTTTCCAGTTGCACCATAAAAGGAACACACTAAAGAAAGAAGCACTTCACAAATGTACTTCTAATTTGCAAAGCACGTCGCTTAAATGTAGCAAGAAGTGTTTTCTTTTCAATTAATATTGAAGCTCAAGTGTTCCAAGAACGCAATTTTAGTGTGCAAACACGTAATGGATGCCTCACCTCTGCCCAAGCTTGTTGCTTTTATGAAAAGTTAACAACATGTCTGCTGCTGCTAGATAGCTTCTTAGGTACGTGTCTGGGATCCATAACTCTATTGGCTGAATCGGTTGACGACTTATTGATGTATAAATAGTACTTAACTACTATACAACTGTTGCATTGCTTATTATTGTGCATTTTCATTACTTATTATTGTATACTTAATATTATAAAACTTTAGAAAATTATAATTATTACGCACTGATTAATTGCTGAAATTGAGAAAATATTAAACTTAAAAGTTATTGGTAAGTTTCTTTAGATAAATAAATAACATACCTAAATTTCTACAAATATTTGGGAACTTCTAGATTATAATCATGATTCATGGACGAAATTTTGCTATTGAAACAAAGGAAAAGACCATCAAAATACGTTACTTGTTAACAATAAAGAAAGAAATTAATAGTCTAATGCTCACAAAAGTATAAACTGCTCAATAGGCACATTTTGATTAAGACTGAAAAGTACTTAAGATTATTCGAAGCACATTTAGCTAACCCTGAATACTTTAGGCCAATCGAAAGGTATTAGTTAGGTTGCTGAATTCCTTCCAAAATCAGAGTCACTTTCATTTGTTAAGTGTGTGAAAAACGTATATTGTCAAGTCTACTGTATGGCTGTCATGATCACCACATGCATCCTCTAGAGAAATGCATTTTCATGTTTAAAAGAGTTAAATGAAAAACCAATTAAAAATTTGCTGATATTGACCGTAAAACATTTTTGCTAGCGATAATATAGTTAAAAAATTTATAGAGTACTTCTATCTAATAAACGTTTAAAAGTGTTCGCATATTAAAGCATAAGTCACTGGCACAAGTTATTTACATGAAATCCAAACATATGCTGTCGTTTAGCTATGATTTTTAAGAAGATCACCAATAGATAGACAATGAGTTTAGGGCATCTCTCTATTTGGGTGCCTCCTGTTTTCTCTGACCTTGTCAGGAGTTCTGATGTTTTGACTATCTTGCGCAACTTTATTTATTGTTTAAACTTTTAGCATGATTAGTTTTGTATATTTGTGCACTATTAGTTTTTTATGTGTCACTGTACTATTATTTGTACTATTTTATCTATACGGGATTACGTTATGTATTAATGTACTGTATTATTGTTGCATCACATCTCTTTTACTGATTATTTATATTATTTGTATTATTTTTATGCATTATTTTATATTATTATAATTTATTTTCTTTTTAGTAATAGTAGTATCATAGCTTTTTTATTTATAGTTTATCTTGGTATTCTCATTAAGTAGTATTTGCATTATTATCTATATACCTTTTTATCTCCAGAGCAAGATATTATGTATTATTGTTGCATTATCTCCTTTGTATTTTTGAGTTATTTACTTACGTAGACCTTAAGGAGAAACCTTGTGGAACATACTTGTAGTACAACTGTCTGTGCGATGAAAGCATGCGGAGATCCTGCAAAATGCGATTTGATGAAATCTCATAATCAGACTATAGCGACAATAGCCGAGTGGCATTACACTCCGCTCCGGTTTTTACGTCGTCGCGAGTTCGATCCTGATTCGTACTCTTATCAAAACATTTATTCAGGACTTCCATATATTTACTCCTTATCGATCTCTTGTACCTTAACGGTCCTCGTTCTTTACTTTAGACATGCTTAACTCTTCATTATTCAGTTTTTCTTAACGAAGTTGTGGCGGTTATTGCTGTTTTCAGCAACGGTACTCCGGAAGCCAACGCCTTAGTCCTTGATCGTTATCAGACATCTACTCCAAACAGTTTTCTTTGAAAAAATGCATTACTCTACAGTTCCAAACATGCCAATTAAGTTTTTTTGAAATGATAATATACGCAATAAATGTTGATAGACAAATGAAGCGATTGCGACATGTTTTGCGAATAAAAGATATAAATTATGCTACAAGATTAAGTTCATGACAACTCGGGAGGTATCAGCTTTGGTACTCCATGAAAAGTCTAAAAATGTTTTAAAGCAGCAACTTACATCTACAGAAAATTTTTAAAAAATAATATTTAATTTTAAAAGATAATATAGGATTTTTTCATTCAAAAGGGACATTAACTCGTATGAAACATTCATTTTGAAGACAAGCAAATTGTTTTGATACACTTAGACATTTAATAAGCACATGTTCTCCATCTTAGGCCGTTTAACGGCAACTTAATATGGTTTTCTCCAGATAAAATGAGAATTCATTTTCTCAAAAATGGAAGCAATAAGCCACAATTTCCAAATCTGATTAAATTATTCAAAAGTGTTTTGACTTTATATTATGGTCATAACAGTTGAGATTTACCTTCCTATATTTCTTTTTGGTTCCCGCAGAGAATCTTAATAACGCCAGCGTAAGTTTAAGCACTGTATTACAGTATACCCCAAGTAACTGATCTCAAACACAAATGGCTCGAGGGCCGCATGTAATACCTGTTTTTTTTCTGTACAACGTTGCCATCACTCGCTTTGAAATCCTTGAATTTGTAAGTAAAAAATTCGTTAAAGGTTTACAAAATATGAAATCGATAATAAAAGAAATTCCAAATTTCAAATTTGGGATTTCAGATGCCTTTATTCGCAGTAGGATTACGTCATTCAAAAATTGGATGGATCTAGGTACCGTTATTTTATCACAATGCGAGAAACATACATACATTTATGCAGATTCTTCGTTATTTAATTTCTTCAAATATAATTCAGAGCTATAGTATTTGGTGGCAACGATTTGAAAAGTGATACAGCTTTTTAAAGTTTTCAACGCAAAATCGCAAAACGAAAACAATAGTCTTTCAGGGACAAAGCTCCTTTAGACTAATAAAAATATCACATAACAACAAAATTCAAATTTAAATTTATTTACTATTTGATACCTCCAAGATATTTTTGTTGATTAGACTTTGTAATTAAAATATATTGATAGCTAAATATGAAATATTCAGACTGACATTAATTTCAAAACATTTTTGCATGTTTGATAAATCATTAAATAGTTTATTTTAATTTAAACTAAAAATAAACAAATTGCAAAGCTTTCTGAGTTTTCAGAGAACATTTAGCCTGATCATTGTCTAAACTACTATGAACTCATACTGACTAGGCAGGCAGGACGTATTCACAAAAAAAAAATTTTGATTGTGCAATTTGTTAGCCCTACCTATCACAATAGGCTTGTCCATAGGTATGAGGGCTACTTTTAAGAATTTTGCTTTAATTTAATTTTAAATAAAGGTAACACAGAAAATGTTAACGTCATTTCTTTGCTCTCTAAGACTTTTTGCGCATGTCCAGTTACATAATATTACATGCGAAAGGGAAGAAATACTATTTCACAAACACATTCTTGGAATTACATACTCATATCTATATGCTATGCGGTTTTCTATCTCAATCAAAATAGCCCCTGCCCCCCCTTTTTGTTTTGCTTAGCTGATATTCACCGTCGGTGATAAGCTGATGAATAATTTTGAATCTTTCCATTCATTCCATTATTTCCATTTTATTCATTAAGTGACCATCGGGTTATGAACGCCATGAACGCGAAAGACGTGATTTAGCGCATGTGTCTTGTTTTACTCGCGTAAGTCTCTGAAGACGCTGACTTTTCAATGATGAAATTTGTGAAAATTAGCCCTATATTGATAAGCTTGTATCTAATGTTAAAAAATGTTCTTATCATATCATAGGCAATGTTTTAAATTTCGAACTCGAAGGAAACTTTATGTACATCAGATCCTATTTCAGGATCCTAATTTCAGCTGTTAAGGAGTATCAGCAACCCCTATACCGACAACGTTAAATTGGCCATTTTCGATGTACCTTTTCTCAAAATGTGCTAGACATACACGCTTTAAAGTTTTTGTGTCATTAAAGTATACCTATCTGATTATACTGAAATGAGCTTTCGAAACATTTTGAATTTTAGAGTAATTTACAGAAAACTTTGTTAGGC